TGCACTAGCTATTCTTGATCTGCAATTCGTGAATTGTGCTAGGAAAAGATACATATAAAATATGCAAACAAGAGCTAAATTATATTATTTATTATGATTATGATTATTATTTTGTTAAATGTATGTGGTCCACCATGCTTTAAGTCTTGAGCTGAATCAACTGCTAAATGTTTACACTGCAAATTGGATAGTTCTTCCATTTCCTTCCAAGCAAACAATGTAAGAGAGCATACGTCTCACAGCCCATAACAGGCTGGATAGAGTTAGAACAAAAATAAATAAATAAGTCTTGTGCTTTTGATAAAGGACCTGCAGTAATACGAATACCATATCAGGAGACAAGATCAGTTCTTTTAATATATGTTAATGAAAGAAATAATTCTGCCAAACAGGGGTCACAGATGGCCAGCAACTTCCACTGAGATTAGGCATGTATCTTTTGATTATTATTACTAATTTAAGCCAAGGCAAATACATTTTTGCCTGGGCATGATTTGTAATTATTTCAGTGCTTTATCTACAAGGGATTATCTTGTCTGTGATTCAGTGATGAACAATGTAGACTTTGGGGCTAGCTGATGCCCTGTTTTGTAAAAAATAAATCCAAGGAAAAAACCCTCTTGCCAAATTTGGTATCGTATACAAACTTCTGTAATCTGGCTTTCAACGGAGGAAAAGGATCATTAGGTTTGAACCAGCATTGCTTGTATTATCTCCTTCCACTGTATCTTGCATCTATTTTGAGGTTCTTTAAGTGCCAGAAACAATATTACATACACTTGTCAGAGTATTAATCTTTCCCTTGGGCCTAATATTGATGAGAATAGATTTGGCGAAGGGCAGGAGAAAGAGTTCAGCTATTTCTAGTCCTAATTTTGTGTTTAAGTTATATGATAAATGAGAGATAGAGCTTGCTAACTATGAGATGCTTCAGAGTATTCCCGAAACATGCCTATATGTCACAATCCAGCACACACAGTTGGGTGAACCGAAGCCCATTGAAATCTACAGGACAGAGGATGCTTACTTTATGCTTGATTGTGGCCACTAACATTCACTGAGTCGTTTCCAAACTACCTGAGAGATACAGGAAATCTGTGATTGAACTTCAGTTCCTGAAAAGTTTATTTTTAGAAAGGGGTCCCATTTTTGCAAAGCGCTCCCATTTTGATTGGAGCAGTTGTGCTGGGGGAGGGTTTTGTTTTTTTTAAGCCCTCTCCATTCATATAGCTTTCCTGATCTAAATCATCTTCCCAAAGCTGCTCTTTGACCCACTGGGTTAAATGTACAGCTACGTATGAATTTACAACTACTGACATTTGCGTCATGCATTCAGCAGCGCAAAAGGAAGCACCAATTTTACTTCAGGAATATACACATTGAAATTCGTTTACATTTTTTTAAATCTTAAAAGCACTATTGACCTATCGGAATAAAGGTGGCTGTAGCATTTTGCGGGAGAGTAGCATTTTCCTCTCATAAGCTGCCTCACCTGTGTGGTTCTTATCATCCCAGCATGCTTTTCTTCACCTGTTCTCAGCAGAACTTCATTCATATGTTATGGGCAGAAAAGTAATTGCACAGCTGTCATGTTCTGTTCAGAGGGGCAGGAAGTCTTACTGGTGGAATCTACACACATATGAACAATGCTGTGAAAATCCTTTAAAAAAAAACCCGTTTAGAAAAATACATTAAATTTGGCATAGCTCACTATTGCCATCCAGTGTCACATTTGTATATTTCACTTTACAACAAATTCAAAATGTTTTATTTGCAGCTGTATAGCTGAATCCACTAGCTCCTGTGTTCTCTTGTTTTTTATTTTTTCCAGTAATGCTTGAGGACATTGCGTTTGAGGAAAAGGAACTGTGTTCCTAAAGAATTTAATCAAATGAAATGGACCTGAATTCCAAGCAAACTTCCCTCTTCAGAGTACAAGAAGCTCCTCAGCACCACCAGAGAACACAGATTTAAAGCTGTATGCACATCTGTAGTAGCTTCAGAAATCTCCTGACTGCTCCCCTACTGCCATGTCTCAGCTGGGAGATTCCTTGTCTGAAGACAATCCGGAGGCCTTGGCATTACGCTAGACCTTGGATCAGGCTCAGTCTGGGGTTGAAGAGTCACGATCCTTATCTGAGGCCTTGGAGTTAGGCCTCTAACACTGAGGCAGAACAAGTCCCAATCCTGAGGAGAGATGACACCTCAACTGCCAGAAAGAAACCTACCCCATCTGGAGAAGTGCTCAACTGCAGAAAAGGAAACCTCAGGAGCAAAAGTCTCCTAGGGAGTAAAAACGTCTGGATGACGACAGCTGAGGTCAGCGTATGGTTTCCAGCAGCTCCAGCTCAAAAAACCCAGTGCAAGGCTGGAAGTGCTGTCTTACTACTAGTGCTATGCTTTGCCTGCTATCCTGATCCCCTCCCTATTCTGAGCCTGACCACAGGTTGCCTTTGACTTGTTGCCTGCCTTTACCTTTATTTGCCCATGGACCAATTGTAACATGACCCTGGGTTGCCCCCACCTTGCCTGGCCCATTGTTTCAGGCTCTGCATTGGAGCCCAAACTTGGACCAGTCCTGGGTATTGCTTCTGCATTTGTCCACATTGTCCACCTTGGTATTGCCACTGACCTTGAACTAGCCTAGTGAACTTACCCTATTCCAAGCAAAAAATGCTCCAATAAAAAGAAAATGCAGGATACGGAAAACCGGACTTCAGTAATGTTATGGGGATGGCGGTGTTCTTTTGCTTAGAGTGGTTAATCAGTATTGATATGCTATAATATTGGCCTCTTTGAGCTGTCTGGTCTTGCTGAAAAGCTCCGAGGCTGAGAGCCTATTCAGGAGAGGGCTGATCTCCTGAATCTCTCATCAGTGAAATTAATGTTTGATTGAGAAGGGCAAGGACGTCCCGCTGGGTTTTCAGCTCAAGGCATCTTTGAGTGCAAATTGAATGCAGCGTCTTCTCACCTTAATGCAGTCACCAGAACAGCTTTGATTTGGCTATGCTTATTTAACAGTTTAAAAACAAGGACTTGTTCTGCATACGAAATCACATGCAAAGCGTTACCCTTTCCACAGTAGCTTGGGTGGTAAATGCCGATAGCAGAAAACAGATGGTAGTCTCTGTGGAAGTTCAGAGAGTTGACAGTAGTCTGTTGAGTCATGAAGTCTGGAAGCTGCTGGTAATCTGTCTAGTGTTAGAAGTTGTTCCAAAGGACAGGCACGAGTACTTCAGTAGCACAATATCTGAGCAGTGAGAGGTTTCAAGTGTTCCAGCTCATACCTTGAGTTTGCTTTCCTTGGAAGTTTGTGGCAATTCTATGACAAGAGATTTATTTACACATATAGCTAGGCTGAACATAAAATGGAAGATTCAATGTATTAACACTCCAACATTTCCTGCTCCCCACATTAGGTTTCTAGGGGCACCACCAAAGCCATAAACTTGGATTCACTCATGGGAAGTGTCAGGCCTCTGTCTCTTTCCCTTCCAGTTTACAGACTGTTTCTTTTGTTCTTTTTCATGCAGAGACCTGAAAGACATTTCTTCCAGCCAGGGGACGTGAGAGAGCAGGGAGAAAGACATGTCTCCAGAAGTGTCTACAGCTGTTTAGTTTTTATGGTAAAACTGTGCCCCAAGATTACATAACAAACCAGATACTTACATTAACAAAGAAACTGGTTTGTCCATTTATTTTGCAATTTATTTATTTATTTATTTATTTTGCAATTCCTATCTTTGGAAAACTCTGTACAAATAATTTAAGTATATAAATATTCTGTTTCCTGTCCGAAGGCCTAAGCCCTGGCATTTTAAAACAGGCTATCTGAGTCCTGGCTCATATTATTCCAAACACTAGGGATTTGATACCCAGCATTCGGCACTTACAGTCATTTAGATCTATGGTGGCTTCATTTACAGAGGATGGTATTATGAAGGTGTCCTCTACTTGAGGTTTGACCAGTCCAAGTTTGGCTAAAAGATAAGGAAGCATCAAATGGGAGATGAGGAGCCTTGAAGGTGACCATCAGCATTTAGCAACACATGGTCAGCAGTCTGAGCCTGACGTCTTCCCTACTATGGTGAAATATATTTTATTTCAATTTAAATTATAGCAATGATTTTAAATTTGAATCTGTAGATGTAAATCACCACGTGCAAATTTTATATAAATTGGTGTTCACTTGTGTGATGCAAACTCTCTTTTTCTTTTTTGGGCAATGCATATCTGACCACGCAATATAGATCTGCTAGACCCCTTTCAGAGAGGAAGTCTTCCTTTCAGTGCTAGTTACTCCCTGCCCCTTCCACTGTATGCAGACGCAGGGCTCATGCACACTTCGTCCCATGATTTCTTCCATTTGGCACCTGACTGACATTTGTTTCGATTCAGCAGTGAACAGAGGGTTTTCCTGGGGACAGCAGCAGGACAAGAAGTCATGGACCAAACAGACGTGTGGATGATCCCTTAGATAGCTATGATTATTTCAGGTTGAGGGAGACAGCACATCTCCCATGACTCACATACTCAGAAATACATGTGCCTGTCTGAATAACTCTCATTTTATCTTTTCTGTCATGGCTGACAGGCTAGGCCTCAACACTACCTGCCTCATAAAATAATCCCTACTGTCTCACCATCATCGTTTCATCCGGCAGAGGCATTTCATTGCAATGTCTCCCGTTGCGTTCCCCTCCGCTCGTCAGCAGCAATCAGCAGTCACTGAAGCAGAAGGGGAGCGTTTCTAAAAGCCAAACTCTGAGCTTCAGAAATAAAATGTGGCATGGTTGGGAAAGTGTTCACATTTTGACTTCCTTCCAGAGCCAGTGAGTTCTCGTTGGCTGCTGTTGGAGACAGACTGACTAGTGGTCTACTCAGATGAATGTTGACCTGATAGAACATGGTTTTTTATCTTTTTATCTCCTACAATCATAGAGTTGGAAAGGCCCATGAGGATCATCTGGTCCAATCCCTGCAATACAAGAATATGTAGTTGTTCTTTACAGGGATCGAACCTACAATCTTGGCTTTGTCAGGTCCACACTCTAACCAAGTAAGCCATCCAGCTATCCATCTAAAGGACAGAACAAAGTGTCGGTGGGGTTGGGGACCCATATGTGAAAGTGTTACATATCACTTGGGAACACAGGCAGACTAATACCCGTGTACTGGAAGAAGCAAAGATCACCAGTGTCGAAGCAATGATTCTTCAACATCAACTTCATTGGACTGGTCGTGTTGTGTGGATGCCTGATGATCGTCTTCCAAAGCAACTACCGGTACTCTATTCCGAACTTGAAAATGGAAAGCGTAAAGCTGGTGGTCAACAAAAGAGGTTTAAAGACTCTCTTAAGGCAAGTCTAAAAAAATGTAGTATAAACACTGACAACCGGGAAACACTAGTTTCTAATTGGAGAACAGCCTTTACCAAAGGTGTCATGGATTTTGAAGACGCTCAAACTCAGGACGCAAGTGAGAAATGTGCTAAGAGGAAGGCACGTTTGGCAAACCCTCACCATGATCAACTCCCACCTGGAAACCTATGTCCCCACTGTGGAAGGACGTGTGGATCCAGAATTGGCCTCCACGGTCACTTATGGGCTCACTGTTAAGACTGTGTTCATGGAAGACAATGTTACTCAGCTATGAGTGATCGCCAAAGATGTGAAAGAGCTGCACATCAAATGGCCTGCAAAGGATATTGGTGCTACAAAGAGGAAGATTAAAGCCAGTGAGCAGATGAATGGGGTGCTAGGGCCATAGCTCACTGGTGGAGCATCTTCATAGCATGCAGAATATCCCAGGTTCAATTCCTGACATTTCCAGGTAGGGCTGTCTGAAATCCTGTCTGAAATCTTAGAGAGCTGCGTCCAGTCTACAATACTGAGCTGGATGGACTCAGAATAAGCCAGCTTTCTATATTCACGTAGGTAGAATTTACACACATTCTGAAAATGTTCTGAAAATGTTTTTTAAGTGTTTTAAAAAGTGCATTGAATTTTCCATAAGGCTCACCATCGCCACCTTTGTGTCACATTGTATATTGAACTTTAAACACACTTAAAACGTTTTATTTGCAGGTGCATTGCTGAGTCCATACATACCGTATTTTTTGCTCTATAAGACTCACTTTTTCCCTTCTAAAAAGTAAGGGGGGAAATGTGTGTGCATCTTATGGAGCGAATGCAGGCTGCGCAGCTATCACAGAAGCCAGAACAGCAAGAGGGATTGCTGCTTTCACTGCGCAGTGATCCCTCTTGCTGTTCTAGCTTCTGAGATTTAGAATATTTTTTTTCTTGTTTTCCTCCTCCAAAAACTAGGTGCGTCTTGTGGTCTGGTGCGTCTTATAGAGCGAAAAATACGGTATATCTGACAAAAAGACTCAAAATAAAATTATTTTGGGTTCATCCCCTTCTTTAAACGTGTGCTAACTGCTATTTAAAATAAGATTTGCATTTGTGCAGGCAACATTTGACAGGTAAGCCAGCAGAAGCATAAATTCCCATAGCAATGTCCCATGTCTGAACATTTTTCTTTGTTTGGCTTGTTGATTGTTGTGTTTTTGTTTTGCCTTACTTTTTCTTCTTTGGAAACCAAGCAGCTTCCTTTCCTCTCCCACACACAAAAGTAAAATGTAGACAGATTTTTTTGTTAAGGAAAACAGTGGCCTTCCTTTAAATTCAAAGTGTGTGGGGAGAGTGCTGCAGTTTCTCAGTGCCAAAGGGAAGCACTGTATATTCCCACTCATTTATTGCTTTGCTTATTTCTGCTTTGAAATTCTCTGCTATAAATTCACTAGCCGAACTTGGGGCTAGACAGTTATTGCTGTGCCTCATTGTTTTCTCATCTGTAAAATGGGAGCAATGTCCTCTAGATGGTATTGTGTCTGTATTTCACTTGCTGTGTCGTCTGTTACTTGCTGTGCTGCTTTTGCCATTTGGTGCTATTTGCTTCCAAATGAGAGCTCCCACTTTCTCAACTTTTGGTACATTTGAACACAGATTGTATTGGTTTCTCCATTCTTTATCAAGCCATGCTGTTGGCTTTCCATGCTGTATCTTAGCCTCACCCATCCATGTACCGGAATGTGCTTATTCTCATCTGTGAGTGTGGCTGCCTACACACATTTCATTAATGAAGACTGAGAGTGGTATTCAACTACATTATTGTGCTAACCAAGAATTATCCCTAGCAATATGGGATTTCACACCTCTCCTCTTCTCTCCTTGCCAGCTGCGTAGACCACGGGTCAGCAAACTTTTTCAGCAGGGGGCTGGTCCACTGTCCCTCAGACCTTGTCGGGGGCCGGAATATATTTTTTTTGGTGGGAATGAATGAATTCCTATGCCCCACAGATAACCCAGAGATGCATTTTAAATAAAAGGACACATTCTACTCATGTAAAAACATGCTGATTTCTGTACTGTCTGCAGGCCGGATTTAGAAGGTGATTGGGCCGGATCTGGCCCCTAGGCCTTAGTTTGCCTACCCATGGCGCAGACGCTAACCCATTTATTGTGCATAAAAAGTAGCTTTTCTCAATATGGCATCATTCATGCTCACCCTTATGATTTCAGTCTAGATTGATTCTAGATCCTGCCCTCCACAAGGGTGAGTGTGGTTACTTGTAATGCATTTGTAACCCCCTGATTAGGTTACCCACACTTTTTCTTTCCTGCACATGCCCCTGGGAAGGAAGCGGTGATTGTGATATTGGTGTACACTCCCCCATAACATCATTGGGCAGGTGTGGATATAGCCCCCATAGCTGGAGTGGCCCACTTCTTGTGCTTACAGCTGACATGAGATGGAATCAAGGAATTCCTGGGTCAGAGGTCATACCCCTAGCCAATGCACCTTACCAGCTTTTAAAAGTATGCTGTTGGCATTGAAGGGGGATGACAGGAGTATTACACAATAGGTATAATCCTATAATGAAGTTGCAGGACACTTTGGCTAACTGAACAAAACCCCAGTGCTGCATGTGTACAGTTGCCAGTTGCTGGATCTACTTATTACAGGAAGTATATTCAGAGCATTAAAGGCTTAGATCAGGATAAGGTAGGAGTAACATCATCCCCCTCTGCTAATGTTCCATTTCTATTTACTTTCTTTTTGAAAGTTTTTTTAAAAAGAGTATTTTCTTATGCCAATAGAAATGGGTTCAGTCATTTTACCTGTTTTATATCATCAGAAAGGGGAGAGAAAATGCATAACCAAAAGAGAGGACACAACTTTGCATAAAATCTGCATATATCAATGTAAATGTAATAAATTGCTATTATTTAAATAGAAATACAATGCAATCTCTTGCGCAACTGCTTAGTCTGCTGTGCTAATGGGCAACTTCAAGGCCCCTGCTCACTCTCTGTTCTCTGAGCCCTCAGTTCTTAAAACCAGACCTGGACTGGACAGTCCTTCATACAAAGGACTCTTTCAAATAAAGCACTAGCTTTTGTAAAGTGGGACAATGGCTATGCTGGTTTTGTATGTAATTCATAACTAATCATATGTACCAACAGATCTATGATTCTGTAATAATGGAATTTTCTGATTTATTATTTTAATTGTAGAGTGAACAGTTGAAAGCTGCTTTTTTTGAAGGGTGACAACTAATCTCTGCAGTGCATTAAGAGACTAGGGTCTTTGTTAGGCTGTCAGCTAAGCTATTTCTATGCTCTGACTCACAAAAGGGTAAAAGAAGCAGCACTTCACTAACAATCCCTACAAATTAGGGAGGAAACGTAACCAATCATATTCCCAGAAATGTGGTAAAATTGAGAAACTTTGTTTTTAGGGTTGCTTCTAGCTGATCTGTTCATTGAGTGCTAATCCTGATTTGTTTGCTAAAGTGTTTGGGGAGGTTAGATAATGTTGGCGATTTATTGAGTATTTATTCTGATTTGTTTGCTGGGATTTCTGTTCTGTGCTGTGAACCCCTCCATTGTAGGCTCAGGTTGTATATGTGTGTAAATAAACCATATATCATAAAGACACCACAGTCTCTGCTGTGCCCCATTTCCAAAAGGAAACATGAACCCTGGGCAAGTGCCTGGAACCCCTGAAATCTCATACTGCTCAAAGATTGGGGTGGCATGCAACAACATTTTACACCTGTATTATGACACATTTACTTGCCTTCTTTCTAAGCTAAAAAGCCCAAAATGTTGTTACTTTTCCCCATGGTAGAATTGCTCCAATTCCTTCATGGTTTTAGTTGCCCTTTTCTGAATGTTTTCCAGCTCTACAATATTCTATTTTAAGTGAGGTGACCAGAAACGTACATAGCATGTACATACTGCTCAAATATAATACAGAGGTAGATGACTCTGAATAACACTGATTTATAATTTCAAAAGAAACAGTGTAATTAAGGTAAAGCTAAAGGGACCCCTTGACCATTAGGTCCAGTCGTGACCAACTCTGGGGTTGCGGTGCTCATCTCGCTTTATTGGCCAAGGGAGCCAGTGTACAGCTTCCGGGTCATGTGGCCAGCATGACTAAGCCGCTTCTGGCAAACCAGAACAGCACACGGAAATGCCGTTTATCTTCCCGCCGGAGCGGTACCTATTTATCTACTTGCACTTTGACATGCTTTCGAACTGCCAGGTTGGCAGGAGCAGGGACCGAGCAACGGGAGCTCACCCCGTCGAGGGGATTCGAACTGCCGACCTTCTAATCGGCAAGTCCTAGGCTCTGTGGTTTAACCCACAGCACCACCCGCATCCCTTTAACAGTGTAATTAGACCCATCTAAACTCCTTTGTGATGCTAATTTACCCTCTTGATTTACACTATTGCTGTTGTTTTTCTAAGTGATCAATATGGCTATCTACAATTTTGCCTAAAAAGATTAACACGTCTCATTTTGTTACCAAGTGCCAACTTTTAGCTTTCCATAATGTGGAAAAAAGTAATTGTGGTATTTGTGTTGCTTTCTTAAATAAGTTAGATGGCTTTAGTTAACTCTAAAATACTGTTTCCATTAATTCCTTAATTGTAATGTCCTGCTCCATCGATATGATTTAGCCAAATGCCATTCTCTTTTTCATTTATTTCACTGCCGATTCTACAGAGTAAGTGCCTGAAATCAAGGCTTTTCACAGAAAAATGATTGTGAGAATGCAAAACAAGTACTAAATCATGGCCTTCTCAAGTGAGGGGTTAGAGAAGAAAAATGGTTCAGGCTTGCTATAAAGGCAGCTTATAATGTCACACACATATCTTGGCAATCAGCAATGACAGAAAATGTAATTTAGAGATAGCAGATAGGTGACCTTATGACAAATAACATTTATCACATCCAGATTAGGTTGCTGGAAGGCAGACATCTGTGCTTCTGCTTTCATGGGGAAGGTGATTGGTTCATGCCCTCTTGATCTGTCTCCATAATCAGTGCCTGCTGAAATGGGATGGAGCAGGGAATTCTGACTAGAGTGTAGAAGAAGATGTTGGGGAAAGGCAGGTGGAATGGGGGTTGATGGTTGGTTAGGGGGCAGAGATGAATGCACCGGAGGAGACAGTGTGGGAAGAGAAAAGAAGGGTGCCCAGGCTTATTTTAGTTCTCAGACTTGCAGAGAAAGAGATGATGTGGAGCAGTGGTTGGACGAGGACGTGGGAGACCAGGGTTCAAATCCCTACTCCGCCATGAAGCTCACTGGGTGACTTTGCACCAGTTATCAACTCTCAGCCTAACCTTCCCGCAGGGTTGTTGTGAGGTTACCCCGAGCTCCTTGGATGAAAGGTGTGGTGTAAATGCAGCAATACGTAAATAAGCACGTGCATTCTTTTTTTTAAAAAAAACAACCAGAAGGTGAAAGGGAAATTCAAATGCACATTTTAAAACAATGACTTTGTCCTTATGTAGTTTGTAGCTGTTTCTCCAGCATACTGTCTCAGACAGTATGCAGCACTGATTGGGTGTTTCATTCCCTGTCAAACAACTGATCCAGAAGAAATGACCAGCATGGGCTATTCCTGCCACTTCCACCTGAGCACAGTTATTGTCCCAAATATGGGTGAAGAAAGAGAGGGGTTAATGATGTGGAAGTAGCTGCTAAGCATTCACAGGCATAACACAGATCTCCCTCCTTTTTGAGATTTGTCAAAAATGTTTGGAGGAAGTAACATTATTTATAGGTGGAAAGTCAGAATAGAATATTTGCTAATAAAACTTCCCTTAAGTTGTCTTACAAAGATGTGCCTTCCAATAAGCTTGGCATTAATGTTTTTCTGTCAGTTAATGTAGAGTAATGGTTACACAAGGTTAGTGTCATATAAACAAATGACAACTTGCCTTTACTGGTGTCCTATAAAAAGCTGAACATACACATCATCTCAACAGGTTGAGATGGGACGCTTGTAATTAAAGTTTCAGATTTACAATTGGTCCTGAGTGACTCCAGATTGCATGAACCATAAATTCTCTACAAAATAATGCACGGTTGGAGCCTTTAAAAACTTTAAAAAGAAGTTGGCTCTTCACATACATGCTATACAGTGAGAATTCAGAGGAAAGGGGAAAGTGTTAAAAGATCCCCCAACATTTTTCGCAGAATGGCTTCTTTCTGTAAAAACAGTTTAGAAATGGTGATGAATGGATGTTCAAGCATACAAATGTAAATTTTGTTGTTGTTGTTTAGTCATGTCCGACTCTTCGTGACCTCATGGATCAGAGCATGCCATGCACTCCTGTCTTCCACTGCCTCCCACAGTTTGGTCAAACTCATAAGTTTTTTTTAAAATGGAGTAGGCGAGATGAGATATGGGAGGAAGGGCACAAGATGCATGACACAGCCCACACATAAAATACTGCTTTAAATGCTGTGGCCCTGCCCCCAAACCCACAAGCAGTGCCTGTTACTTGTAAGAAAGAAAAAGAGCTTACCGTATTTTTCGCTCTATAACACACACCCGACCATAACATGCACGTAGTTTTTAGAGGAGGAAAATCTGTAGGCATGCTACCCGTAGGCATTCCCTCCATAACATGCACAGACATTTCCCCTTACTTTTTAGGAGGAAAAAAGTGAGTGTTATGGTGCAAAAAATACGGTAATTCAGGCAGGTAACAGAGCAGGCTCAGCCTCAGACACAAAGCTTGGGAGTCATTAGGGCAAGAAGCTCAGAACTTAACAGAAGTGACGAAGATGTCCCAGCAAGTTTTTCTGTATACCTGAAGGAGCGTCTCCACCCCCATCGTTCAGCCTGGACACTGAGATCCAGCGCCGAGGGCCTTCTGGCGGTTCCCTCATTGCAAGAAGTGAGGTTACAGGGAACCAGACAGAGGGCTTTCTCGGTAGTGGCGCCCGCCCTGTGGAATGCCCTCCCTTCAGATGTGAAGGAAATAAGCAGCTATCTTATCTTTAAGAGACATCCGAAGGCAGCCCTGTTTAGGGAAGTTTTTAATATTTAATGCTGTATTGTTTTTAACACTTGATTGGAAGCTGCCCAGAGTGGCTGGGGAAACTCAGCCAGGTGGGCGGGGTATAAATAATATATTATTATTATTATTATTATTATTATTATTATTATTCAGTTTGAAAGTTGAGATGTGGCGCACTCACTCACGAGAGTCGCTCGTCTTCTAGGAATTCCATGCATTTGCTCCATCAGGGGGGATGTCCCCACCATCTGTGAAAATGGCACATGGTTCTAGGCAACAAGACTGCCCCTTCCTGTTCATTTGCTGATGCCTCCTGTCCTGCCTCCTTCTTGGCTGCTCAAAGCCCACCCCAGCCTGCATCAAGGCTTTCTGCTCTGCAATAACAATGACGTAGAGTTGGAATCCTTGCTCTGTCTTCCGAAATGGCTGAAGTCAGGGTGCAAAGGGCCAGGGTCTCTGCTGCTCTGACACAGGTTCTCACTGTTCAACTCCCCCTCTTTGTTTCTTCTCCTGCAATCCAAACCCAATCTTGACAGTGCTGCTAGGCTCATGACAAGGCCAGATGGAAGAGATTTTCACACTATAGCTGAGCGATGCACCCCCATTATGAATTCTCTTTTTATATTCTATTTGTCTCCACATGTAGGACGATTCTAGAGGATGTGTTTTGGTAATCACAGATACACTTGCTCATTTAAGTTGCATGGCATCTGTGGACAACTAGCTCTGATTCCCTCTCTATTCAAACATGAATTAGAACAGGGGCAGTCAATGTGGTATCTTTCAGATTTTGTTGGACTCCAACTCCCATCAGCTCCAGCAAGCACAGCCAGTTTCACCATCCATTCCTTTAATAAGGTGGCAAGATGCAAAAGTGTTCCTGTGCTCTTAATAGTTGTGTAGAAGAGAGAATTTCATCAGGTGTATTTGTCACCGTCTCATTCCATCCCATCTAAAGGTATGTTAAATTGCTATTAAGCCTATACACTCTGGTCCTAACAATCGGTTTTGCTCAATGAACTCTGCTATGCTTGGAAGCCTTTTGCTGTACAAGCAAAGCAGAGGGGGCCTGAAGGCACTTTAATGATTATTTTAATCGATTCCCAGCTGCAGAAGATGATAAGGTAACTCAGCTTTGATGTTGGCAGCACTGTAAGGAGTGAATGAAAAGAGAGGGCAGGTAGAGGCAAATGATGCGAAATGGCCAGGCCATTTGGGCCTGTCACTTCCTTTTCCAAAATGAAAAATAGAAGATGAACACTTCAGCATTAGCTGGCTCTGAATAAGACCCCAATGAAAGGAATTAACTTTTCAGAATGGAACTGATAAAAAATGAAAGGCCAATGATTTCTCTCTGCCTATTGGATCCTGCCTTCGTTTACTGCAGCTGAGAGGCTGTGGCATGTGACACACTGCATAGGAGAGAGATTTTAAGGTCAGACATCACTCTTTCATTTGCCAAGAGAGGCAGCACCAAAAAGAATATTTTGTGTGCAAAACAAAGCCTCTTCTCCTGGAGACCTGTATAGTGATTCGCTGGAAGTCAGACAAACAATCAAAGGGGATGGAGGGGTGGAATTTATGCTCTGTACTGGGAAACTAGTTTTTGTATAATATTCTAAATTAATTTCATAAGTAGCCAGGAGAGGTAAAATCATAGAACTGTAGAGTTGGAAGGGACCATGAGGGTCATCTAGCCCAACCCCCTGTAATGCAATAATATTTTGCCCAACATGGGGTTCAAACTCACGACCTTGAGATTAAGACTCTCATACTCTACTGACTGAGCTAGAACACTCCATAGATGTGTTTAAATGTTCAGCCCATCCTAAACAAAATAGTGTATTATAATTTAAGGATATCAGCCAGTAAAACCAGACTAAAATGCAATCCTATATGATGGATATTATACATGGTTATTCAACTGAGTTCAGTGGGACTTTATCTAAGGCTTGCATGAGACCCACACAACCCTGCCCTAGGACTGAAGCTCCGTACACCAACTGCTTGAACTGCCTGGGTTCCTGGCCAGCACCTCCTCTCTCTCGCTCTCTCTTGTGTGCACGCACACACACACACACACACACACACACACACCTGTCCCAGGGCCACAGGAGTGGAGGAGATAGTGAACAAGGCAGTAACTTCAGAGTCATTGCCAAGGTGTGCAGCTAGCTGCATGTGAGGCTCCTCAGGACAGCCTGTGTGGTGCAATGGTTAGATTGTTAGCCTAGGGGCTGGGAATTCAAATCCCCATTCAGCCATGAAGCTCACTTTGGGCCAATCAATGCCTTTCAGCCTCACCTACATCACATGGTTGTTGTGGGGGTTAAACGAGGAGGGCATGAGGAGAACCACATATGCCACCTTGATGGGTGGGGGGTGGGGAGGTGGGATATATAAAGGCAATTAATAAATCAGAGCATCTGTTTAGATCATGACCTGGCCGAAATCCAGGTGAAGCAGCAGGTTTAACCCCAGCTCTAACCTGGGGAAATGTACAATCCCTGACTTATTTTCTAGGACGCTGAAGCGTGGATGCTAAACCATGCATTCCCTCATTTCCTCACTCTGTTGCTTGATTGCTCTTTGTAAGCGCCATTAAGCCCCTTCATTTCCCCAAAAGCACATAATTGCTTTCTCCTCAGAATGGATTAAACCTCAAGCCTGTTTATTTTCTTTAATCAGGCCATTCAAAATAAGACATAAATTTCAGCTCTGCAGTATTTCATTAAGATTAGTATTTGTACTCTAATAGCCAAGGCTAGGAGAGCCCAAGGCATGTCTTAGTCTTCCCTTTGTGCCCTGGAAAACTCGAAATGTGTTCTATGTGGCAGGGCAACCAGTGTCATTCCTCAAGTGCAGGAGGCTAATATCTAGAGTCAAAGTTGAACACACATACCCAAAGTGGTTGTTAGGTAGCTGCTGGAGAGAGAGAGAGAGAGAGAGAGAGAGAGAGAGAGAGAGAGAGAGAGAGAGATGATCACCCCTCGTTTATTCAACACAAGAAGTCTAAAAGTTAAAAGAAAAGCAAATAGCAGTCAGGAACTGCAGGATCTGTATGCAGCTGCCCCTTGTGGCGAATCACTGAACTTCAAGAGGTATCCATTTCAGTGTGTCTGCACTGTGTTGACTTCACCCATCTGTTTTATTCACTGAGCCTTCCTTGAGCTCTTATATCTTTGGCTGTGGTTTGGTCCTGCCTCCCTGTCTGTCATTTGGTTCTGACTTGCTCTTTACTTCTGGCTTGCTTCTTGATGCTCTCTTTACAAAAGCTATGAGCTACGGCTCGGATTCCTACAATTAAATAGATACCTGTGAGCACTCCAAAACGGAATGGAGCAGGGGATACCCAATGTGAAACATCCCCAAATATTGCCCCTCACATGAGACTTATTTTAGTTTCAACATTTATGATAACCTGGGTAGGCATGAAGCTATAGCTTCAACTTGACATGTTTATAATCCCCAAATGTTATGGGGAAAATCAGTGCAAGCTCTAAGGATGGACGCACCTGAGAATTTCAGATTCTCTCAGTTTCTCATTTTTCCTCATTAATTTGCATTTAAAAAGTCAGCATTTTAAAGTGAATTTCTCCTAAATGTTTTGATCTGGATTTTTTCCACACACCCACTCACACCCACACATATATGCAAAGCAATTTGCCCTAATATAATTTATTTTTTTGTATGCTATTGTCAAAAATAAATGCCTTTTTATGCACACAATAGATTCCGTCATTTCTATACAGGGAAAACTAAGCTGACAACGATATTTTGAAAGGCGTTGCAGTGAATGGGACTAACACACTGATCCAAAACCTGTTTACTTGGAAGTAAGATCATGGAAATGAGTAGGATTTCTACATAAATAACTGGAATGCTACACTGCTGCTCACAGAATGTGAATGTATAAAAATCTGAATGAATAATATAAATAACTAGATGGGATGCTCATAGTTTCACTGCTCATTTTGAATGGAACAGACTTCTTAATCCTGCTGATTTAGGACTAAAAACATTTCGTTTTCTTGATCCTTTGTTACTGTTTAAAGGAGACAAGTAGGCTTCTGGAAAAACACAAGGAAAGTTATACAAAGTAACATGCTTTCCATGTTAATGCTTTTTACGAAACTTTGTACTACAATTACACAAACACTTGTAGCTACTTTGCTTCCCCCCAAATTTATAGTATGCATTTAGCTAAAATATTAGCATTCTTGGGGATTATGTTTGTCCTTGCTAATGCTTTCTAAAGACAACAGAATGTGACAGGTGAAAAACAAGCACCTCATTTTTACCTGTCAAGCTGATTCCATTTTAGAAATAGTAAAGCCTGTTATCAGTGCTATTTCATTTATCAGACGTTTATCTTCTGCATCATTTCCGTGAAACTTTGATTATACTTTCATGGTGCTACAAAGAAAAGACCAAGATATATTCCTTTTAAAAAACAACAACCAACCCTTTATTATAAGTAAGAATGAGACAATTTCTGAAGACATTAGAAAAGGAAATTGCTAAAGTTTATTCAAGGAAATTAGGATTTTGGAACTAATTATATTGTTGCATGCCACCCTGATCTTCAAGTGGTGTGAAATCCCAGTGGTTCTAGGTGGTTAACCAGGGTTTGTGTTTCCCTTTGGGAATGAGGCACGAGGGACAGTGGTGCCCTTATGATTTATGGTTTATTTACACAAATATACATCTTGAGCCTATGATGGAGAGGTTCACAGCATCAACACCCCAAGAGAGCCTTGCTTTTGCCATAGCCACAGCTTTGGATTCAAACAGAAATCAGCCATGGCTTTCTCTCTGCCTTTTCAGCCTGCAGCTTTCCCCTCTAGACCATATAGCAGCAAACTCTTGCTCTTAAACTCCTGCTTTGTCTATCTAACAGAGGGAGGAGGGCCCCCACGCATTTTCTACCTCACACAGAGCCCCTTTTCCTCTGTTCTTTTAATGGCCCATCACCTCTTCTTTTAATGGCTCATCACCCAGGCGATTACCTCAGGACAGCTAGCCTGTGTCTTGATTAGCTTTTAACACTTACTAGGGTTATAGGGTTTGGCCTCCCACAAACTCATAATGATATTACATAACAACAGTGAGCTTCATAATTCTTTGATTTACCACAAATACAAGGTGGGAGTCTTGCACATGGGAGAGAAGACACCCTGCTTTCTTTGGTTTGGATTAGAATCCAAAGGGGAGGGGGGAGGACACAGAAATGGGGGGGGGGAGGCAGAGAGGCTGGGGAAATGGTTGATCTATGCTGCCCTTGAAACTGGGATGTGAAATAATCCAATTTCACTTTAAACAGCTCAGAATAAGCCAAGTTATTTCCAAAGTTTTATGGAGTGAGTGGGAGTACCATTGAGCTGAATTGTTAAATTCTAAAATATCTCAGTCACTTTGATAGATCATTGAATTGAAGACTAGTGAACAATGCTCACATTAACCTTCCCAACTGGGATTATAACACCATTGCTGTTCCACTATATGCCTATATACAGACAAACCCCCACATGAGTTCATCTGGATCAACATGTGCAAATATGTGTGGACAGAAGGAATGCAATAAGTACCCTCCCTCATTGAAAAGGAATTACTTAATATAGTGCTGTCCCTAGACTGCTCACTGCTCAGTAAAGTTAAGCATGTGTAGCAACATGTTAATCTGCTGGAACTATATTATGTCACATTGAAAATTTCTCAAAGACAAGTCAACATACTGGTTCACCATCTGTTCCTTGACATAGCTCAAGGAACTTACTTGATGTGATAGTGAACTGAGATAGTGAGAGATTGTGCCAAAAAGGTGTCATTGAGAAATGAGAGGGAGGGTTCAGCTTGGGTAGGGAAAGTTCAAGGTTTGTACCAGCACAGTAACATCATTTGAAACAAGGAAAACTAAGAGGGCACCCCACCATATATAGCAATTAGGACATGACATTTCCATAATCACAAAATGCCAATGCCAGTTAAAAGAGAGAAACAGAAAAGTAAGGAAAGGGAATGAAATGGGGGTAATGTGGAGAAGGGGAGGGCTGGCAAGTCAGCACTCTGAACAGGTCTAAAGTCTACCCCACCAAACACTGGGAATTCTCATTCAGGTAGAAAATACAACCCCAAGATCATTTGTGCAATTTCTCCCTTCCCTCAGAGATTGGATGAAAGTTAAATGATGGTTTAGCGAATCTATTATTTCAATAAAGGTGCTGCTATATTTGCTTTGACCTGTGAGGCAGTAAATGAGGATCTTTAAATAATAGCACACACTTTTTTCTTTTTAAACCCATTACGGTAGTACAAAAAGGTATGTACCACTGTGGTTGTTATTCCATTAATGCTGTTGTATGCCTGCAGGAGATACAGAAATGACATACAATTTAGCCAAAACACCATGTCATATTCCACTGACACGTTGTGCTTTCAAGCAGATTATCAAAGTGACATTTTTGTCCCAGGTTTCTTTCCACATGCACAGGTCAACTTGATGAATGCAATTAGTTTGGTCTGCGAGTCAAAGGAACACCGACTACTCTCGATTAGAAAACAGAACGCCCCCAGATGCCATTAGGAATTGCATGGCTGAAAAGTTCCCTGTATCATGCTTGACACAGAACAGACAGATTGTCACCATTTACTGTACATACAGACCACCTGCTATGGGATTTGGGCAAGCTAAATATCTGACTTTATATCCCACACTGCCATTTAACTTCATATTATACCTCCTGTTGTTTAATTCTGGCTGTTTTTATTCATAGACTTCTATTAGAGGAAATTATT